TTTTGAATCTTCTCACAAGCCAAGGGGGATTTCTTTGTCTTACGGCATGTTTTTTAAATCTTCCTCACAGCAACAAATCCAAGCACCCCGGGAATACAGGAACACCAGACAATGAAGACAATAGGGCAGGGAAGGGGGAAGGAAGGAAGACAGATCTGCCATGTGTGGCCTCCAAGAGATAAACAGCTAAGGGAACTAATGCTTGGAGGAGGGGCAGAGAAACGGGGCTAGGGAGCTGGAAAGAAGGAGAGTATAATCACACCTTGCCTCACAACCTGTAATTAGAAGAAATACAAACGGGCCTGATCTCTTGGGTTCACCTGGGCTTTTTTTATTAGCTCAAGCTCCTCCCCGTTTCTGTCCTCCTCCCTCTCCTGTCCCTTCCTACAAGTAGAAAGCTAAAGTAAAATGAAAATCCACAGCAAAATAGTTACAGATGTTCTACCTCAGAATATGCCCGCGGATTAAAAGCGTGTTGCTTGCTCTTAGGTCTGCGGACTCGAGGCTGGTACAAAATGGCTCTGCTCATGGCCTTTTCACCTTAACAGCACCCAACGCCGTCCGAAGTCTCTTAATGCCTCTGAGCTCATTAGACAAAGAACAATGAGACCAGGACTCCATTCAACTGGTGGTGATTAGACACCCACCCTCACTACTATCCCTCGCAGGGCCTCAATGACTCTTGTGTGCATTTTTTCTTCAATTCCAGAATCTTAATTTATATGTGGCCTGTGATGAAACATGAGGTAATCATGCTCTAAAACAATGCACAGTGGTAAAATTTACAGAACTTAGATTACATTTCTCTTAAGCCTTGAGACTATCAACATATGCAATTTCTTCTTTCTCCCAATATAAATCTATTAAATTAAAAGGGGGAGAATTCTTCTACCAAATTATACACTAATGGCTCTTAACCCATAATTAAAGTATCACTAACAGCAACTTAAAGCCACAGCCAACCATGAGCACATTTACTGTTTTTGTTGTTAGGTGCTGAGTTGATTTCAACTCATAGCGACCCCAGGTGACAGAGTAGAACCGCCCCATAGGGTTATCTAGGCTGTAATCTTTATGGGAGCAGAAGGCCAGGTCTTTCTCCCACAGAGCCACTGGTTGGGTTCAAACCTCCAACCTTTCAGGTAGCAGCCGAGCGCTTAACTGTTGAGCCACCAGGACTCCCCACATTTATTAGGATGTAATTTTCAGCATCAAGTAATCAGGTGAATAGAACCAGCCGCCATCTTGAGAAAAGTCAATAGTCTAACCTTCTCCCCGTTTCCCTGGGGACTGGCTCGTAACTGGGATCTACGCAGGGCCTTCTCCTCTGCACAGTCAGAAAAAAGTAAAGCAAACCAAAGTAGCAGAGCAGCAGAGAGAGCAAACTCCAGTGAGGCTGGTCACCTAGGCCTGTTGGTCCTCAGTCTGTCCTGAACGTCACAACAGCCTCAGAACCTAGCCCAGTGACTGGCTTCGGGGAAATCGAGACTCCAGAAGGCTTGACTGTACACTGTAATCCAGGATGTCATCCCTATGCTGTGAGGGCACCCAAGATACAGCATGGTGCCTGACATCTAAGAGCTCAGAATGAATTAGGGAGACAAGACAAATACTTTGGAGAGGTAGTATGGGATAGTAGAATCATAGCATAGTCAAAACCACTGGGTCTAACCTCAATTCTGCAAAATTTCTGAACATGCATAGACAACGCAATTTCTCTCTCTGGACATCAGTTTCCTTGGCAAAAACAAGGCAAATATATGAGATGATGTCTAAGGCCTGTTATGACCTCTGAGTGGTGCAAATGGTTAACAGCAAAAAGTTGGCAGTTTGAGTCCACGCAGCGGTGACACAGAAGAAAGGCCTGGTGATCTTTTTAAAAATCAGGCATTGAAAACCTTGTGGAGCACAGTTCTACTCTGACACACATGGGGTCGTCATGAGTCAAAATCAGCTTGATGGCAACTGGTTTTAAGGCCTTATATAGTTCTACAATAATTAGATAATTAGTGAGTACAAGATAGTATATAATTAAGTGCTAAATTATTAGTTGCATCCACAGCTGCCACTGGGAGATTTCACTGATTCTTTTTAAGTAAGCCATTCATCCCAAACTACTTCCTAGGAGCCTACACAGGCACTGTGCTAGGACTTATGGATACAGAAAGAAGCAGACAGAATGTCCCGCCTTCATGAGGCTTACATCCTAGTAGTGAAGTATTCTCAGGAGTTCAGAGGGAAAATGAGGGCAGGACTGGTCTAGGACCTTTTCATGGAGATGGAGGCAAAAATGGGCTTCAGGTGGGTATAACTTGAACATCGGGAGGGTAAGGAACGACCTGGTGAGGACCGTCATCATAAACCATGAGGGTTTGGAACGGATGCATTAACACAAGCGTAGCCTGCTCATTCGCTGATAATTAGCAAAGGCAATTAGTTAGCTGCCAGAAGTTAGCTAGACTTAGATTCCTCCAGCCTTTTGCCAATCTTTTTCTCCCACCCCAGCAGTCCAACCCTAAAACCCACTATTTGTGGTTATTTTCTTCCTCCTTTATTCTCTTTTCAATTATGCTTGCAGACAACTATGGTGAAAGGCAGGTGCCAAGGAGTAGTTACTAAGGGGGGAGAATCCATACCTAAATCACTCAGAGTCCACTCTAAAGTGAGATTTCGAGGAAGGCCTTGTATGCTACATGAGAACTGGCTAAAAACCTTTTTGTATACAAGTTGCTAGAGAAGTTGAGGAAAAATAGCATAGACACGTGTATTTTGGGAGTAGAGGTGTGTCTAATACAACGAAGAAACTGGTATAACTAATCAAGGTAATTCGCTAAGAATAACAAATCATTAAACCCTTCATTCTTAAAACTAGTAATTCAGAAAATTAACTTGTCCTTTAGTCTGAAGAGATGTGGAACTTATCTCTGCTATTAATGACATCAAATGTTGCCTACCAATTATACCTTCCATTTTCCAAATAACTTCCCCGGAATGCTGGTGAGCTGATGTGTTTAATATGAATATTCCTGAAGTGTTGGATTTAAAGGAACAATCACTGTTCAAACTCTTCTTACAAAAAATCCCCATGTAAGATGTATGCCCATCTTCAAACACCCTTTTTGGGTTTACAGCAGATGTGTGCAGTGTTTACACTGAGAAAACCACTAGGACATAAACAACTCACTATAAACACCACTCAAATTCTGCTATGCTTTTCTTCATTTCCTGTGTATTTACTTTGGTGTTAAAATAATGTTAACTTTCATAATAAGGAAAATAGCAGCAGATGTTTAAACCAAACACACTACATTATTCCAAATACCTACACAACTTTCACAATCAAAGTTTCTTCCAAATAACCAGAAAGACCAGAAGAAAACTACTCTCATGTACATTACACAGTGCATAACAACAAATCAACACAGACAAGCTTTCCGTAAGCTTTTCCTCACCACCACAAGTTGGAGACATAAAAGATTAACCTGGTATCAATTTCCTAACAATCCCTATATTCCTCTCTTAGGCTGTTCGTTGTTGTTTTTAAAATACTATACTACTAATGCCTCAAGTGTTTTTGATTTCTTGTTCACTGGAAAAGTTTTTTTTTTTTTTTTAAGTTTTTAAAACCATATGTGTTAATTTCACAGGCAATGTGCTCAGTCACTTGCTGCTTTTACCATTCTCTAGATCTGCCTTTTAATGAGTGAGTTCAGAAGCAACATGATACTTAAAAGCAGCAGATTCAAAGAAAGCAATGCACCACAATTCTCCTAACTGGAACGGGTAGGAGTCAAAAAATACTATTTTTTAAAACCTTAAAATATCCTTATCATAGAGTTAAATAAAAACAACATGATTTTTTTTTTCCTGGAAGAGGGAAAGGTAACTTTTCAACTGATCAGGAAAACAGGCCTGAAATTTTTACATGAAAAATACCGGTGAATCAGCTCATCCTCCCAAGTTTCTTCCCTGTTTTCAAGAGAAATGCTCCGTTTACTGTAGGAGAAAGCACGGAAACTGCTTCTGCTGAATCAGAAAGGAGCTGTCTCCTCGATTTGTATGTGGTTACAACAAAAAACACTCCCCCTGCCAAGCTGAGTTCTCCCCCGGAGCCTCCGGTCCAGTCAAACCCAGGCCATTACCACTTTTTCAAACTGCACGTAGAGTGTTCCAGGAGATCAAGAAATCGCTTTTTCTCTTATTCCTACCACCAGAGACAGCTTGAAATACTACAAGGCAGTGAGAAAACACCTCACGGTTTGTGGGAGATTTAATAAACAATGAGAATTCAGAGTTTTTTGTTTTTTTAAAATTTAGCTTTCTGGCCGCGGTGTTGTGTAATTATTTCCACAAGGACTCGAGTGTGGAGGGAACATCCTTCAATGTCAGAACTCTCTCAGAGCTGTACAGGAAATGGCAAGTCAAACAAAGGGCCAGTCTGTGCTGTGTAACTCGGCTGCCCTTCCAATCCCCAAACTGAATACAAAAATTCTTCATTGTTGGGGACAATCGCTGCCAACAACAAAAAACTCACTGTAACTTTTTGTTCTCCTCTACACGACAACTCCGAGTGCTATGTGAAGACAACATGAATACTGTACGTGGTGGTATGTTTAAACTAAGTATCTAAGCCCCCCCAAAAACAACATGTTTAACTTTTACTTGTCTCACAATTTCTTCCTTTAAATACCAACAGAAATCAAAAAGAAGATACGTTCAAGAACTAAACATATAAAAGAGTTAGGAAATTTCAAGTAAGGCAAACTTTTCTACCAGTTTATATTTCACCCCCCCCCACCCAGCCCCCTCCACTGTCATCGCTGAAGTCCATAATACAAACAACAAACTCTGCAGTGAAAGAATAATAATCAACGCTTGCCTTTCAGACACCCTAAAGTCTCAAGGAAAAGCACAAAATGCCCAGAATGCGATCCGACCACTAAACAGAGGGAGTGGCCTTTACAAAAGTAAAAGAGCAATTCCTAGGACGGAACACCTACCTTCGTAGCACAGAATGCCGATATTGTTGTTCATCTTGTCCAAGTACTGGTAGTTCAACAGGTCCATCTTCATAAATAGCATTTATTGGGCTAGCAAAGAAAACCAGCTCTTTGGTTTCGCCCCCAAATAGTAAGTTTCAAGGAAAAAAAAAAAATCAATGCTGAGTAGCTCCTGGCTCTTCTCTTAACTTCACAAAGACAGAGGCCCGACCTCAGATGATCAAAACAAAGTAAGTAAAAGTAAAAAGAAACACACACACACACACACACACACGAAAACTAACTCACACAAAACCCCTCCAGGATTTCTTTGTAGGCGGTATACGTATTGTATCCTCGATGGAGCATGAAAAAAGTAGTTTCAGAAGTCTTTGCAAGTCTTGCTTCGGAATAAAAAAGGGGCAAAGAAGGCAAACATGAAGCACATTTCCTAGGACAAAGACACGCTAGCGTCCCTCACAGCCCGCTGCAAGTCCGCTGCGCTGACATGCTGGCTATGCGAGGTATGACTCCTATGTAAACCAGCTTCCTCTTCCCAGCAGGAGGGGCGCGCGCAGGCGCACTGGGCCCCGCAGCGCTACAAATGTCAGGGATAGTTTCTGCACAAGATCAGCCCCTAAATGCGTGGAGTGTTTGAAAGAGAGGGAGGAGGTGGGGGGGTCTGCACAGAAGGGGCTCTCGCCGTTCTGCCACTGCATGGCTGGGGAAGAAAAGAGAAAACCAATCAAGCTTCTTGTTTCCAGGAGCTGAGTAAAAAGTTTTAAAGAAAAAAACAATCCATCATGGAAGCAAACTTCCATGGAATTTGAATTTCACTTTTGTGTAACTTCACTCAGAGTTTTGCTGTGGGGTGTCTGTAGGTGTATAAATATATATGTATGTATGAATATATATCTTTGGATTTTTCTTCCTTTTTAAAATTGTTTTATAATGTCCAGTTACTTTTTAACTGTATATTGTAATTTTTTTATGTTAATGTTTTATGTAACTTCTCTTATAATCCCCATAATTGCTCAGATGAACTAGGGCAGGGAAACTGAGGCTCTGAGGGGTTAAATAACTGACCCACGGCCCCCAAAATAGAAGGTAGAACTATTTTTAGTGTGTGTGTTTATGTTTTTTTCCTTCCTAATATTATAACCTTCTATAAAACAAAGGAAGGCAGGGCGGGTGAAAGAGAGAGTATTATTATGTACTATTATATATACTGGAGCCCTGGTGCCATAGTGGTTAAGAGCTACGGGTGCTAACCAAAAAAGGTCGGCAGTTTGAATCCACCAGGCGCTCCTTGGAAACTCTATGGGACAGTTCTACTCTGTCCTATAGGGGCGCTATGAGTCGGAATTGACTCGATGGAAACAGGTTTAGTATGTAATATGTTCAGAAAACTTTATAAATCATTAGTATATCCCATACATACAGGAGAAAGGCACCTACTGAAAATCCTGTATTTACATACTCAACAGGGAATAGGTGTGAGAAGGGTATTACTGTATCATACAGCCAATGAATAGTGACTCTCAAGCTAGACTGCACATTTAGAATCAGTTACCAGTTACTGTCGAGTCGACTCTGACTCATGAGGAACCCATGTGTGTTAAAGTGGAACTGTGCTTCACAGGGTTTTCAGTGACTGATTTTTGGAAAGTAGCTCATCAGGCCTTTCTTCCAGAGTGCCTCTGGGTGGGCTCAAACCTCCAACCTATGGGTTAGCAGCCTAGTGCTTAGCTGTTTACACCACCCAGGGCCTCTGGCGGAACCAGAGACAACTTTTTAAAATACTAATTCTGAGGTTGAATCCCAAACTAATGTGAAGGTGTGGGACCCTGCATCAGTATCTTTTAAAGAGTTCCAGGCAACTCTAGTTTGAAAACCACTGCTTCACGGGTGAGGGTGGGGGTGGGGGTAGGGAGACAAGACTTAACATACTTGATCTTATATACTTATTTTGAGGAGACTTTAAAAATATATATTATATATTGTGATTTAACCACATGATTCAAATAATACAGTTGTAAAGATATGAGTGAAATGTTTAATAACTTCCCTTTAACAACTCAGCATCACTTACTACAGTGGTTCTCAGCCTGGGAGCGGCAATCATTTGTGTGGACGCGTCCTAGTCCTATACGTCCTGTAGGCACACCTTGACTGGTGCTTAAAATGGTCTGTCATAAAATTCCCAGCCTCTAGCCACCTCTTTCCCACTGATCTGGGACGCTAGCATGGCGCTACTCAAGTGTAGTCCTCGGAGGGATTGAAGAACTGTTTGTTACTTAGTCGCCAAGATTAGATACAGAAATTGAGAAAAAACATTGAGAAACTTTTATAGCAAGTTGACAGAGAATATTATGTCTCTTAAATCTTTTTTTATTATGTTCACAATGTTGTGTAACCTTCACCACTAATTCCAAAATTTCTTCATGGTCTCCAAGAGAAATTCAGTATCCATTAAGCAATAACTTCCATTGCTTCCTCCCCCCGGTCCCTGGTAACCACTAATCTACTTTCTGCCTGTATGCATTTGCCTATCCTAGATATTTCATATAAGTGGAATCATACAATATTTGTTCTTTTGTGTCTGACTTGTTTCACTTGGCATAATAGCTCAGAGTTTCATCCATGCTGCAGTATGTATCAGTATTTCACTCTTTTTTATGGCTGAATAATATTCCATTGTATGAATATACTACATTTTGTGTATCCATTCATCTTATGAGTTGGAATCAACTAGATGGCAATGGGTACTGCGGGACAGTTAATCACTTGGCTGCTAACAGAAAGGTTAATAGTTTTAACCCACCCAGTGGCTCCACAGGAGAAAGACCTGGCAATCTGCTCTTGTAAAGATTAGCCTAGAAAACCCTATGGAGCAGTTCTACTCTGTCACATGGGGTCACCATGAATCCAAATCGACCCAACGGCAAACAACAAATCCTTAAAAAAAAAAAAAAGTGAGGGTTGTATTTTATATGTTCCTGTTTACATTTCTAGTGGTTGAGTTTTATTGAATTTTACAAAACATCACCCTGCAACAGATGGGGGGAGAAAAAAACCAAACCTTGTCTTCCACCCAGACAGTCTGAGAAGCTCTACACACCAGCCTACAACAGCCCACTGCAGCACAGTGAGCACCCTTGTGATCAGTCTAGGCTCCTCACACCCTCACCATTTACTTTAAGCACATTGAACTGCTTGTTATTACTCTAAGAATCACAGTATTTCACTTCTCAGTGTATATATTCTCTCTTCATGGAAGACTTTTCCAGCCTACCCTCACTCAAGATTTGGCTTAAGCCTCTCTTGATCTGTGAGTCATTCCCTGAGACCCCTGTCTCCGGTCTACCCCCTCCCTCATCTATACTATCATTTTACCATGTACGTGCTTCTAGCTTAACCAAGCCTAGGGTTTAAGAGCAAGGACTATGTATTTTTTGCCTTTTCAAGGTCAGCATTCAGGGTAGTATAAGCGTAGCACATGGGAGGCCATCAGTAAACACTTGCTGAATAAAATCAGTAACATCTAAAGGCATTCTCCATTTCCCTTCTCCCTACTTTCAGGACACACTGGATTATCTAATTTGATGTTTATCTGTCAGTATCTCTTGAAGACCACAAATTCACACATTTATGCACTCATTTTGATGCTGATCACACTTTAGGCTTCAATCCATTCATTTAAAAAATGTGATTACTGGGAAATTCATTCATAGGTTAATATATTCAGAATTAAAGAACCAATGGAATTGTTTTTAAAGGAAATTGAAAAAGGTGGTTCTAAATTTTATATGCAAAAATCAGGTAGGAAGAGCTCATATACTTTTTAAAGAATTAAGAAATTTGATCTATCGGATATTTAAAACATAAAGCAAAGAACACTTAAAAGGGTGATATTGGGTACAGAATAAAGCTAGTTGCCTTCACATTGACTCCAATTCATGGCAACCCCATGTGTATCAGAGTAGAACTGTGCTCCATAGGGTTTCAATGGCTGAGTTTTCAGAAGTAGATCGCCAGGCCCTTCTTTCAAGGAGCCTCTGGGTAGACTCAAAACAGCCAACCTTTCAGCTAGCAGCTGAGCACATTAACCATCTGCACCACCTGTACAAAATAGGTAGCATTAAAGAGATCTCACCATATATAAGAATTAGAAATCTAGGCCAATGGGGAAGAAGTGGATTACAAAAACCATATTATTGGGAAAGAGACTATGCGGAAAAGAATCAAAACAAAGCCTCACCTGATCCTGAAATACCAAAATAAATTCCAAACGCTTCCAAAAGATACTTTAAAAACTTAAACTATATAGGTATGTATAGACTATAGATTTAGACTAGGAAAATATTTTCTAAGGCAGAAAAAAAAATTTTTTAACCAAAGAAAAAAGTCACAGAGGAAAATATTGAAGAATTTTACTGAATATACAAATTTTATGTTTTTTGTACATCTAAAAATGCTAAAACCAAGTTGAGAGGTGAAACACAAAACAGAATGATATTTTTGTAATACAGACCATTGTAGATAAAGGACTAATGTTCTTGGTATATAGAAAGCATTTAAAAATAGGAAAGGAAAAGGAAGACACAATCTAAACATTTTTTTAATGTGCAAAGACCATGGAAAACAAACAAATGGCCAATATATTTACGAAAAGCTGTTCAACTGCATTAATAATCAAATAAATAAAATTTTTAAAGTGATTTTCAATTGTACACGTTAAAAACATTGAATTGGCAAATGTTATATATATTTTTAAACAATAAAAAAACTACTTTAAAATTTTTAAAAAATTAAGTGATTTTCCATCTTTCAAATGAACAGAAAGAAAAGACGTTTTCACTCCTTCTTTACTGCTGGTGAGGCTGGATGCAACTGAATTCTTGTTCACTGTACATGCCCTTTCTACAGTCTGGCATACTCATCAAACTACCTGTCTTGTTTAAAACACTCATACCCTTTCCCTTGGATTGGACTCTATGACCAGAACTCTCTTATGAAAATAGTAAGATTTGGTCACAAGAGTTACATAAAAATGTTTATCCTACTGCTGTTTGTAACAATGAAAACTTGAAAACCTGAAAGTGCAGAAGTAAGGGAATAAATTAAAACTGTGACATAGCAATGACAGAATATTATACAGCCATTACGATGGTGTAAAAAATATATAATGATACAGGGGAACGCTATATGTACTCTGATAACAGTACTACCTACATTAACTGAAAACAAGTACATAAAAATAGGATATAAAAATAATACATAGATTATACACTAGTTTTGCTTATATATTTCTGAATATATAATATATATAGAAAAAAGTATACACACACATTAAAAATACTGGAAAATATATCAAACTGTGAACATTTTTGGATGATGGGTAATGTTTATATTTTTTTGTATTTCTAACTTATCCACAAGGAGTATATTCCTTATATAGTCAAGGTAGGGGGTGAAGGGAGCTTCCTACTTTCT